AATGGTAATGATAATATTAATGATATTAATGATAATGATATGGAAACAAAAATACTACTACTACTCCTAAAATAATAATGATAATAATAACAATAATAATTATAAAGATAATAACAATTGTATAGATAATAGTAGTTAAATCATTAGTAATGATAATATCAATAAAATGATAATAATAATAATAATGAGGATAATGATGATATTAATAATAATGATAAATATTATCATCATGAGTACAATAAGAAGGATGATAATTGTATAGATAATAATTGATGATAATAATTGTAAAATTGATAATGATATTAGTAATGATAATAATAATAATAATAATAATAATAATAATAATAATAATAATAATAACAATAACAATGATGATGATGATGATAATAATAATGATAATAATAATGATAGTAATAATCAATAGTAATAATAATAATAATAAAAAAAAAAAAAAAAAATAATAATAGTTATGATAATAATGATAACAAAAAAACAATGATTATAATGATACTACTACTACTATCAATTTTATAATGATAATAATAATAATAATAAAAAAATAATAATAACAATAATAATGATGATGATGAAGATAATGATATTGATAATAATAATGATAATATTAATCAATAGTAATAATAATAATAATAATAATAGTAATAATAGTAATAATAATAATAGTTGTGATAATAATGATAACAAAAAGCAATGATTATAATTATAATAATACTACTATTAATTGTATAATAATGACATTAAAACAAGCAAACAAACAACGAAAACAACAACACTGACACTAATATCATTAGCAGTATTATTATTGGCTACAAGTAATGATAACGATAATGATAATAGAAATAATAACAATAGTATTGATGGAGAACATGAATTAGAAGAAAAATAACAAAACGAAACAAAATAAAACCTTTGGAGTACCTGCCGTGGTTGACAGCCTTTTTAATATCAACTGGCAACAGCTTTCCTATGATCAACTCACCCATATTTATATTATCAACTCAACCAAATCAACCAAATAAAGAAATCGAACACAAGCGCTGGGAAGTTCCTCATAATGAGCCTCGCGTGCCTGTGAAATATAAATGTATAGACTTCTGCGCTCCAAGACAAACAGGGGGACTACTTCTTTCCCAACTAGAGCGGAGTTGCGTAAAAATCAGACCTATATATATATTTAAATAACATTAGCTATGGACTCTAAGAAGCAAGTAATGTGAACATTTTTATCAGCTACAAGAGAGAGGTTCACATCCAAGGGCCTGCACTGGACGAGGGGAAATATTAACAGTATATTTAGAGGAAATAGCGAAAAGGCAAACTAAACCTAAATCTGGAGAGCTAGATGAATAAACCTGTGCAGAGCTATGCCCCAAAGAGAAATAATAAGGAAATAAGTAACTACTGGTTAAGCTGAAAGCTCAAACACAAGACTTTATAACAGCAGTACAAGACCAACGCTTGGCAACGAGATCTTACCATTGCATGATCATACAAAATAAATCCAGAGTGCAGAATTTATAGAGAGTTTGAGGAGACCATCGGACGAATCGATTCTCAGTAAGCAACTCCTGCAGTTGATGAATATATCCAGCAACATGACAAATGTGATGATTAATCGATGGAAACTCTGTAGCTGTTATACGTTGCCAGTAAGAGAAAAAAAAACAATTGACCAATTGATACTGTGATCTATACACTAACTGAAAGATCGAAGCGGATTGGCCAGGCGTTACCCTCTAAGACAAAAAGGCTACTCTTAATGGTCACGGTACTTTCCTACAAAAACAAAGCAATCCAAAAAAATCAAACTACAGGGATCTGCAAATTAAAACCACTGTGATATCGAAAATGAGAACTACAACCGTGTCAGTTCTCATCTGGGTTCTGGACTAGTCAAATAGGATCAGCAGCCATATCAGAACCCGAAATGCAGATCACTCTAACTGGGCCATGTGCTCAAAGTACTCTCAGTCAACTGTCGGACCTACGACCATGGATTCAAATCAATGAAAAAAACTAACATTGGTAACTGTAATGATACTACTACTACTGCTGTTACTACGACTACTACTACTACTACTATTATTACTACTACTACTATTACTATTTCATAACGATAATGCTAATTATAATTCTATTAGTAGTAATGAAAGTACTCTGCTACTACCACAAATACTAGTTCTATTTAATAATGATAATGCTAATAATGATACTAATATTACTACAACTACTACTACTGATAACAACAAAGATGATGATGAGAACCTTGACAATAATTATGATAATAATGATATAATATCAAGGATAATAATTACAGTGATAAGAATAGTAATAACAACGATAAGGCTGATGATAACAATACTAATAGTAATGACAACTATAATAACATTGGTAGTAATGATAATGATTTTGATGATGATGATAATGATTATGACAACAGTGATGATAATTATACCTGATGATAAGCATAATGACTTTGATGAATGGCCAGTAAAGTTTTTTTTTCTATGATAATATATACATTTTTCTGATAGGGTAATTTTTTAAAGGATAAAATGAAGTAGATAGGATAGACTTACAATCATATATATATATATATATATATATATATATATATATATATATATATATATAGAGAGAGAGAGAGAGAGAGAGAGAGAGAGAGAGAGAGAGAGAGATGGGGAGGTTATATTTATTGTGTAATAAGCTACAATATTTCCTCATGGAAAGCAGAGAACTGAAGTGATGTAAAGAAATAAAAATATTGCGTCTGAATTCTAAGCATACCAAACAAATGTCAACATAAAAATTAAGTGCCAGCTGATTAGAATTAAAAAGAGAGAGGGGTTGCTAGTTTATAATATTCTGAAATTGGTGACACTGCACTTGTATTTTAAATAATTACCATTACCAACTTGCCAATTGTCAAGTGATTGTCATCGCCAACCTGTCAAGGACATCTTCACCTCGATCACCTGGTTGGCATCTAATTGACAGCAGCACTTATGATGATGCCAACTGCTACTGGCTTGTAGGAATAATTTTATCCCGAATATATTTTCATGTATGTTTTATAGTATTTTTATTAGGGTCAGCACAAGGAGATATCCGGTGATGTTTGTAGAGTCCCCCTGATATTATAAAAGGTAGTAAATAATTAAAACACTTTTTACGATTATCTGCATACGAAAGAAAATAGAAAGTGCTTATATGTGTTTTTACTGCGACGTTACAAATGCCATCTAAACAGGTATGAATCAGCAATGACCCCCCACTATACTTACAATGTTGGACACGTGCTTGTTGTGCATGGCGAGAGCAGTAAGGCGTCAACATAGCCTTGGTTTTCGGCAAAATAGGTGACCGACGAGATTATACCAGCGGCTTAGATACCGGGCATACAGGTGTGGTATCTCCCTTTGCTTCTATAGTGCAAGTAGGTATGGATGACAATCCCTTGCTAACGAATTGCAGTGATGAGCCTGTAATGGAGCTCGAAGTGTGCAATGACCACGCCTGCATCAATTTGGTGTACTTTTTCGTGCTTAGAAACAGTGCCGCTAATTTTGCTCTGAATTAGTATTAGGTAATTTGGTTACATTGCATAAAATGTCATTATGATATGTAATCGAAGTGGATTAATATTGTACTTTCATTACATAGACAGCATACAAAACGACTGATTCATTATATATTAAACACATTTTTAAGGCTCTGGAAATACAGCGAAATATAAATTCCACTTTTATCGCGTCGAGTCACTTGTAATTTTGCTTTCATAGTTGCATGAATAGTCATGATATCCCATTAAAAAAGTTTAATTAGAAATGAATAAATTATCTCTAAACAATGCAACAATCACGAACGTGAATATATACATATATACATGCAGGCATATATACATATATGTGAATAAGTAAATGATTAAGTGTGTGCTTTAATATGAATATATTCTTTTACTTATTAATACATACATACATACATATATACACACATCTATGTATATACATCTACATATATGTATATATAGCCATTCATTTATTCATATTTGTATACATATGTATATTAATCTATTTATCCACATAATATATATACACTTATATGTATGTGTGTATATATATACACACACACATACATATATATATGCATATATGTATATATATATGTATATATGTATATGTATGTATGTATATGTATGTATATTTTTATGTATATATATACACACACATATAAGAACACACACACACACATATATATATATATATATATATATATATATATATATATATATATATGTATGTATATATATATATATATATATACATATATATATGCTTACATATATATGTATGTATTTATATATGCATTATATATATATATATGTATGTCATAACCAAACGGTTATATATATATGTATATATATAAATATATGTATAAATATATATATATATAAATATATATATAAATATAAATATATATAAATATATAAATATATGTATATATCATTTTAGAAAAATCCCGGCACAAGTGTACAATTACGTAAGAAAAACGAGTCTTTTCCTCTAATGAGTTATTTGACTAAAGCTATTTATTTAATCAAGCTATTTATTTAATTAAGTCCGCGTGAGTTCGCACACAAATCGCCCGCGCGCACAATACGGTAGTGGATGAGTCTATGTAGATATGTTGGTGGGTTGAGAACCACCAACAATGATTACATAGCCAACTACTCCTCTGGGGAAGGATCATTGCTCAGCCGCCCCAATATAAAGAGCAAGTCAACTACATGATGTCAACATGGCGCCAAGTAGGTCATCAAACATCTCATCGGTGATGGCACGAATATGATGAAGTTCACAACACACTTTTATTAAATCATCTGTTGATTCTGTTATATCAGAATTACCGTAATGGCCCGCTAAGACTACATATTAATGCGATGTGATTAATACCTAATACTTCACTTTCTTCTCTCCCAATAGGTGGTATATCAAGAGCCAACTGCTGGCCAATGAGACAAGCCGATCACTCACTGTGCGAAACCTCACCAGTGATTTCCATCGTAACGCAGTTTCGTGCGAGGTAAAGTCTCGTTCTGTAAGAAAGGTGGTTGAAGGTGAACATGATCGTAGGTTTTTGTTCAATTCACTGGGAGAAAAAAAAATATAATTGGTCTGTAACTGTGAGAAGAATATTTTCATGAGTTCCACTACTAGCTGGTGGGTAAATCTGCAACTTATGTCTTGTCATTGATGGTGAAAATTTTCTACCTGAACCCTAAACTGCGCCTCCTTGGGCTTTCTGTTACTTTTACTCATTACATATTATCATATTTAGGATTGGCGTCTCTCCACAAAGAAAGGCTGTAACTTTCTGTGAAAATTATTCTAGAAAAGGCTAAACCTGCTTTTATTTTCAATTGGCAGGAAAGAAGCCTTAACTAACCAAAAAGCATTATATATACAGGGCCGGCAATAATGAAATTCCACCTCCTGGAGTCGAAATTAACTGAATAAATACCTATCCGTACAGTATACCCCGTAACTACTCATCAAAGTGTATATGACTTGTTACTTGAAAGACCCATGAAGGTGACAGACCTTAACAAGTAGTTGATCCATCTGGCTTGAGGTTAAGACCACAGGTTGCATGAAATATCCCTTCCATTCCAACACAGTTAGTTTAGTAAAGTTAAATGGGGGGGGGGGGGGTGAGGTAAAACAACACTTACTGTCATGCGCGGAAAGCATGTAAACGACGACTGGTCAAAGAGAACACCATGGAGCAGTCGAAACAAATATGTTAAGGATAATTTCAGATTATATTTATTATCTGCCTTGTGTATTTATTATCGTTTACGACCTATTTACACATGCATGTAGGATAATCGTGCTCACGTGAAGGTACACTTTTGAATTTTAGGGGAAAAGTTATTGTGTGAACCTTTAATGGTATAACATAATGTAAGATTCACACGAATGGTAATACACTAATAATAACAAAAAATAATGATATTTTTTATATTCTTATTCTAATTCTGTGAATCTAGTGCACAGCAAGATTCACAAATGTGGTAGAGAGATCTGTTGTGCTGTAGGCTCTTCACCGCGTCAGCCACTCGTATGTCCCTGATGTTAGCTGTCCTTTGCATCAGAAAAAATATAATCCTCACTGGCCGAGCGATGCTGAGTGCGAGATTGATTTACTGCGCAATGGTCTCCACTGTCTATTGTCATCACTGTTTATAGTGTTGATTATAATAACTCAGCTTTACGATGATTGGATGTCGATCCGGTTATTACCAGTACCAATTATTTTGAATGTTTTGCGGTGAAGCTAACTCTAGGAAACAATGTGCATAGTTTACAGTGGGACTTCCTAACGAGCTGGTATTGAACATTTTCTCCGGGTTATATATTTCCCTAAATGTTTCGGACTACATTTGCTCATATTAATTGTTATGCAATATCTGTTAGATATTAGTCTCCTGTATTGATGTACTTCTTTACTACTTTGGTGAATCAAAATTTCAGTAATAAGTATCGCGGTTATTAAAACAGTTACTAGTTTCTTCAGATTTATTAATACTCATTTTTAAACAGCTCTTGTCTCCAGCCACATGGGCTACTGCTGCCGCAAAATCTAATAACAATGACATTTGCGTTGATAATCGTAATTTTGACTTTTGATAATGATATATCTAATTGGGTTATGAATACCCGTAATATCAGACTTTGGCGTAATTTCATGCAATCAGTTCCACTTCAGATCCAATTCCAACGAATGCGTAATGCATGATTCATTTGTCAGTTTCTTTGTTTGTTCATTCTATAAATTTAGAATATTAATTTCCGATTCAGTCAAGTTTATGTTTCTCATTTTCAATATTAATCAAGTTAATTAAACAAAATATGTATGTTTAACAGAGTATAGGATTTAATAGCACCCTCAAACTTTTATTTCCTTTAAAAACAATAAATATGCAACACTAATTCATTTTCAAAGAGAAACACGAAATGCACATTAACCAGCCGGGCAACACCCTCGAGAACAGGCTAGCTCGCGTTGACAGACGTTCCACAAATATGACACAGACTGGTCGGGATACAAGTGTGAGTAAAGTGTGACTGCCGAGGCACCGTTTGGAATTTCCGATTTTTATAGATTTAGTGGAAAAAAAACAGGTGTATGAGATTTATGAGAGACGCACAAGGATCGACGTTCAGTCTCACATTCCTCCTCCCCTTGTCTTCTTCTTCTCCTTGTCTTTCTCGTTATCCTTCTCCTTCTCCTTCTTCTCTTTCTCTTTCTCTTTTTCCTTCTCCTCTCCTCTCCTCTCCTTTCCTCCCCCTCCTCCTTCTCCTCCTCCTCTTTCTCCTTGTCCTCCTCCTCCTTCTTCCCCTCTTCCTCCTCCTCCTTCTTCTTCTTCTCTTCTTCCTCCTCCCCTTCCTCCTCCTCCTCCTTCTTCCCCTCTTCCTCCTCCTCCTCCTCCTTCTTCTTCTCTTCTTCCTCCTCCCCTTCCTCCTCCTCCTCCTCCTCTTTCCCTTTCTCCTCCTCCTCGTCTTTCCCTTTCTTCTTCTTCTTCTTCTTCTTCTTCTTCTTCTCCTCCTCCTCCTCCTCCTCCTCCTCCTCCTCCTCCTCCTCCTCCTCCTCCTCCTCCACCTCCTCCTTCTTCTCCTATTCCTCCTCCCCTTCCTCCTCCTCCTCCTTCCTCTTTCCCTTTCTTTTCTTCCTCCTCTTCCCCTTTCTCCTCCTCCTCCGCTCCTTTTTCCTCCTCCTCCTCTTCCTCCTCCCCCCCTTTCTCCTTCTCCTCCTCCTCCTCCTTCTACTTCTTCTCATTATCGCTGTAATTATTAATGAGGTTGCTACATCTGCTATTATTGTCACTGTTGTTATTTTTATTGCTGTTGTTTAAGCTTTTGTTGTGCGTTTTGTAATGGTGATTATTATGATGATAATTTATCGTGTCCGTCCCCATTAGTGCTGCAGTTGCTGTCATTGCCCTCATTACTGCTTATCATTAATGCAAATAACGTCACACAGTTGAATTAATACAGAAGAATATTGGAATACATCTCAAAGCTCCTCTGGCTAACGTTGGAAAATGTC